CTCTGGAGGTCTTCAAAACCCGCCTGGATGCCACCCTGTGCCACATGCTCTAGGTGTGCCTGCTTGAGCAGGAAGGTTGGACTAGATGATCTGTAGAGGTCCCTTCCAACCTTAAATATTCTGTGAATCTGTGATGGGATTTTGGCCTGGATGACCTGCAGAGATCTCTTCCAACCTGAATTATTCTCTGTTTCTATTGTCTCTCTTTCCTGAATATCAGAGATGCTTCCTATAATCACATATTTGTTACTTTAAAATGCTTTTGATAAAATTTTTATTTAATATTTATCACAAACTCAGTACCACCTTCTACATATTTTTCTTTTCCTTTTTTTTTGATAGGATTCTGTTTTATTTATGATCTTGTTGTTTGCTTGACACATTTGATTACTTTTCTCACTAGTATACATGCTCTTTGTTGTTTATAGACAGAGCTCTATGTGTTTGCTTGAGTTATTTATATCTGCTTTTGAAAGCTCATTTGGGTAAAGTTTTACATCCCTAGGATTCAATCGTATTTTCAAATCAGCAGCTGGCAGAAGGTTTAGCATATTTCTGAGTAAGAATTTCAAACATYATGCTGTTATCAAATAATCTTTGGAAAAAAAAATCTTTAATTTTTGGAAAGAAGTGAACCTCAGGTGAGTGAATATCAATTTTGGAACTGGTCTCTTTATTTGTAAAGCGTGTTTGTGGGTAACTGCAAGTGTCTCTATTGAAGTTTGATGGTAGCACTGTAAGACTGCCTGACAGGATTATGCATCTGTAAGGGTTACAGTCTACTTGCTAGCTTTTTGCTCAGCCCTGAACAAAATCCTTCTGAATACAGAATCCTACTGCATATTTCAAGCAGTGCTATGGTGCTCAATACAGACTCACTGCTCTTGGCTCAGGAGATTCAGCAAGCTAATTAATACAGAACACATACTTTTTAGATCTTTCCAAATTCTGTCTTGARGAATATTAACAGCATACATCTCAGTATACAGTTATAACAGTATACAGAATAGTGGAAGGCTGGGTACCTTGAACAACTGGTTTCAGTGCTTTTTGCAGTTGTGATAGGATTAGCTGTTGTTGACTTCATCGAGGTATCCCAGCACTCTCAGAAGATTTGAAGGAGCAAGGCCCATATCAGGACTTTAGAAAACTTAAACTGTAATAGTTTAATTAAAGACAACACAGTGATTAATAAAGTTCTTATTTTTTCTCATCTACTAGTTGCTCAGAGGTCATGTATTCCAGAATGATAAAAAAAATGTTTGACAAGTAGTTTGTCACAGTGCATTACTATTACTGTTGATGAAAAGTCTCCATGCAGCACCCGTAACGGTTAAGGATGTTGCTTTTCAGTAACAGCAATTGAGTCAGTCTCACATCTTAAAAGTTGTTTAGGTATTTAGCTGTTATTTAACTCCTGTTCTTAAGTCACTA